CAAACAGAGAGCTTTAGAACTATTTCGGTCATGCTTGACAGGTGAGGCATCACGTTGGGTCGAAGACAAACTCATAGATAAAAAATAGCAATTGAATCATGTAAAATGTGGAATGCTTTAGCAAATATGGCCGCCATAGTGGCCCTGAATAATGCTAATATAACGGCCGCCATGATCAATGCACCAGATGGTACTCTACTACCAGCATTACCGGGTGGAGCTACTGGCGCCACAGTTATTCCAGCATATAATGTTTATATGGATGAGGATTGGTCTCTTGCTGGGGGTGTCCTGTAGACGCTGATACAGCAACTAATGCACCAAATGGAGTTTTAAATAATAATAACCATATAGTCCTCCTTGATATCAATATTAGTTAGATCATTTATTAGTTTAAAAGAAATTATTCTACAGTTGTTTAAGAGCAACAACAAATGATTTTTGGTACTTTGACTCAAGGATCCGATTCAGTTAGAAATTACTATAAAAAGATAGATAAATATGCTTGCTGGGCCCGAATATCTGATCGTGAAAAAAGAATACAATTTATATGTGGCTTGTTCCCCGAAAACAAGTTAGAATTGAAGCAATTAGGTTTAAACAGACCTTTGAATAATGATTTGATTGAAACCTTGGAACAGATTGAAATAGAAAAGAATGACATGCTTTTGGGTGAAAATATTTATAACCAGCTAGCTACTAAGACAAAACCAAAAGCGCCTTTTCATCAGGATATTACTACAGAAGATGTTGATAGGATTGTAAATAGTAGGATTCAGGCATTACAGCAATCGACGCTAAATCAATTACCAGCATCTTCTTCCGGTCAGGAAAATATTACTAAAGCTGATTTACAAGCTGTAACTAAATCCTTGCAAAAGACTATGTCTCGAGCGACTAAAACTCTAGATAATAGTAAAAAATCAGCTGATAAGAGAGTGGAAAATACTGCCGTTATACGTTTTTTGAGTGATTTACTAAGAAAAAAACCATATATACACCCTGCTGATGAAAATAATCATGATCCTGTAGATGATATTTCAGATAGCTTAGCTGGATTAACATTAAATAGTGTTATAAATACTGCCATCAAACGTGCTGTTAAGAAATCCTCTTCAGGCCACAAATATTCCAAGTGCAGAAGGTCTGATCACAATTCTCGAAACTGCTCCAAAAGAAGAAAAGGAAAAGCAAGAAGTTTAGAAAAGGTAAGGTTAACCTAGCCACTGTAGATTCAGACTCAGATTCGGATTCTACCACTAATACATCATCTAGTGACAGTTCTGACTCTGATACAAGTTCAGAG